TCGTGGCCTGACTTCGGATGAACTCTTGTGTATAGGATGGATCTTAGAAGCTGAATAGCATGTCGTTCTCTGGGACCGCTTACGCAGTCGAATGCATCGACATTGCACCAAAAGCATGTTACAAGCCGACAGGATGGTAGATTTTATCGAATCCAGGGGGAGTCTATCCGGTACATTGAATACTATGGCATTTCGTGCATTTTGAATGCGACGTGCGACCTCTGTGGAAATTGAATCGATGAAGTTTCCTACCTGTAGCAAATTTTTTTCAGTATTAGGGATTGAGGATCAAAGAACTGGTAGAGGAAGGTAAGTGAAGCTACTAGTTTGTTGAGAGAAGTCATTTTGGAAGATAGGCACTCCAGGTCACTTTCAATCTTTCTGCACTTCTCACGTGTTTCCACGAATATGTCAGACATGGATACTGAGCAAGGAACAGCAAGAGATGGTCTAGCTTTTGGCAGCCGGGTACGGCGAGTTTTAGGTGGCAAACCAATTGTTGCTGGCATCTTACTATGTCCTTTATTCAAAAATAAGCTATTTGTCCTTATTTAGATAAAAATAGCTAATTCGCGATAACAAGCAAAAACTCACGTTGGCGCAAGCCTCGAACCCGAGTACTACTTCAAGACTTCAGTTTCCAACCCGTCATGCGTAATTGAGGATTATCGAGGCATGGCTAGATAACCGTGGCATACTTATCAGAACCATCAAGGTTTAGATATCAGGTAGCTATTTAGGCCCTCGATCAGGTAGCTAAACTACCGCTATGTTTTTCCTCCTTACCTGCGGACCCTTCTCCACCAGACGCCATCAGGTGTACCGTCGAGATTTAGCATTTATCGCCATTATTTGGTGATAGCTATCTTACAGGGAAAGTTTATTTATTAGATATAGCAACTTGGACATTTCCAAGTTTAATTTTTGCATTGCCTATTATCGTTCTTTTAATGAGCCGGAAAAGCGTGCACCGACACAGTTCTCCACGGTGAGCTCTGTATCGCACGCTCTCCTTGCATTGATCAGATTTACTCTCAGGTTTCCGCTGCCGTTGCTGAAATAACAGCCTTAACCTAGCCAAACCTACTTCCAATCTTTCGGAAGATTCAGAATATATCGTTTTGCGCAAACCCAATCTTTGGTTCTGTTTCTTCTTGGGACGGATATTCGAAACGAACGTGAGCAAACATTGGTGACAGGTTCTGACGAACATCAGCAACCATCGAGTCACTAAAACCCCATCTGCACTAGCCCTCAAGCTACATGAAGGCTCTCCTGTAACCTCCTCTGCTCAGGTAACCGAATTATTCTGGTCTCAGTATGAATTTGCCTTTAACTTTCCTCCTGTATCTTCCCACCCCAATCTTTTACCTCTTAATACACAGCCCCCATTAGAAAATTTTATCATTCTTCCAAGGGAGACCGAAACACTCCTCAAATCCCTGAATCCCTTCAGTTCAATCAGACCCGACAGTATACACAATCGAGTGCTAAAAGAAACCGCCTCAGTCCTTGCTCCTTACTACTCAACCCAAGGTGTCTTGATGCTGTAGATTTCCCTTTATCCTGGAAGAGAGGCATCATTTACACCCATCTTAATAAAAGGGGACCGGCACACTCCTAGTAAGTGTAGACCCATCAGCCTGAATAGTGTGCCCAGCAAGGTTTTCGAACGGGTTCGAAAAGAGCAATACTGAAAAAATTATCAGACAATCAACTTCTTCTCCACACTCAACAGGGTTTCCGCCCTGAGAGACCCTGCATCTCCAATATGCTATCTGTCATGGACAATCTAACTGAAGCCCATGATCATGGCTTGATTCCCCACGCAATTTTCGTTGACTTTGCAAAACCTTTGAGCGGGTCCCCACGCTCCCTTACTCTATAAACTCGACTTATGCGGCCTCATTGGCGGACTTCTGACCGTTATTCGCGACTTTTTCACGAATCGCACCTTCTCGGTCCGCATAAGTTCATCGCTCTCATCTGATTGTTCCAATTCTACCGGAGTCCCGCAAGGTTCTGTAGGCACTGGCTTATCGATACCCCGAGCTAATACGTATATGTCGCAAACGAACGTTCGTAGGAAAACGGAACGAGACGAGTCACGAAACGGAGGACTGGTTGTATTTTTACGACCTTCAGAGCAAGAGAGAGATACGGAAGCGTAAGCAAGCGTGCGGAAAGTGAAAGCAAGCAAGTGCTGACCAAAGAAGTAGCATTGGTGTGGTAAAACAATGAGATGCAAAGGATGAAGGGATATGTAGAATGGAAGTTAGTTGGTCACTACAGAGCTTCCCTCCTAGAAGGCTAGGGAGAGCCTTCGACAGGGGTGCATTTATTGTTTACCGTGGTTTGCTAGTCTGAAAAATTGGATTGCTTGGTGGGTTATCACGGAACTACTGGGAATCAACTGTCAAAATAGTTCCCGTTGATGTGGCAGGGGTTGCTGGTCCACAAAAGAAGTGTGGGGTAGTGAAGGTGTCATGAAAAAGCGTCTGCAGGCTAGTCGTCGTTTCACTACTTGTCCCGTTTTCGTTTGTCTTTAGAGAAAATAGGAGGATCGTTGCAGCTAGGCACGAGCAAGTAAAAAATTGACGGGGCTGTCAGAAAAGGGTCTTTGATACCCACGTTGTGCTGGGGCGGTGGAAAGGGTGGAGAACGTGCCAATCTTCTTTCTTGCTGCCTTCTTCTGGCCGAAGTTTTCTTCACCAGTATTGAGGTCTCTGCGTTTCTTGACCGAAGATTTCCTTCCGAGTTCTGAATGCAGTTCCTGAAAGAGAACGGAAAAAAGAAAGTCATATTAGCCTTTGTCGGAGCTGATCGGTGAGGCGAACCCAAACACAATACAAAAAGGGCAAGGATTGATTGGTTTTGTTTTTTAATGTGTATATATATACTATGTACACAGAGAAAGGAACATCAACCATGGTGAAAAAAATAAAAACGGTGATTAAAGGAATTTTTGGTTTTGGTTTTTGTATGCATAAATGAATACTCAGGTGAAGGAAAAGTATCTGTATCGCAGACTAACTGTGTTTGTACGCTGCCAAGTGTAAAATCGTGTTACAATGTAAAACGTCCAGGCAGAATAAAGACTCTCTCGCGACCAGTGATCCGATGGGGTGGGTTGGGATCAGGTGCCTGCTCCACAGGTGTCGCGGGGTTTTCCGGGGTGGAGGGAGCCGGACATGTTGGGACGGGAGTTGCGGGNCCTCCTTGTTCACACATCGAGACTTTATCTGTAATGATATTCATTTGACCCACTGCTATCAAGTTATTGTATGACTGGCTGCAGGCGTGCTGATGCAGAAGGCATTTCTCGACGAATAAACGTGCGATTCGCCGGAGGTCACGATCAACGAATGCGGCGAAGGCTGAACAGTTGGTAGGTAGAAGCACTGACAGCAGGGACTAGGTAGGTAGATAGGTAGACAAGAAACAATGACCTGCGCCAACCCTTTGACTCAGACCAGCGCAGGAAGGATTTTGGCGGCCGGAGTTTTTCATGCTGAATTGTTGAAAATCCTTCTGAACCCATTATGATTTATGGTGAAATAACTTTATCTGTATGTTGCTCCTATGTTGACATTTCTCGATCACAAACACCATACATCATTATTTATCTGTCAATTCGATGCCCCGCACATTTTAATTTTGCGTGGTTTGAGAACGTGAGCGACTGCTTGCCTCTCTCTGGACATCTTATTTGGCTCGCTTGCTCGAGTGCTCTCGGCCGCATATTTCAGGTTTGCTTTATTGTACATTTTGTAATGATTTCGTTAATTCAGTACCGTAGAACATTGCGGATCAATTGTCCTTTTCATTTGGAATTCGTATCGGTCGTATCGGCTACGCGTCACTCAAGTGCGAATAGCCTACATACGCTGGCTGCATGGAAACTGGGAGCGCACAACAGAACGTCTTTTCGCCGAGGCCCGGGTCGACCCTTTGAAATACGTATCGATTCGCTACCTCCAGCTGACCGCGGCCGTAGTAGCCGTACGTATATCGAAGCATCTTCAACAGTGCTTCAGTATCTTCGATGAACGTGTCACGTTCTGGACCTGACCGACTCGTGATACACTACGTGAACGACGTCAGCACTAGGTTAAGCACCTCTGTTTCCAACCGGCTGACGGTGGTGCACGAAGAGACCAAGGTGCACTAATGGCGATATGTGAAATCTGCGGACAACCCAGCTGACCACTGCTCCCGTGGATTGAGGTCGTTGGACAAATTACCTTATCGGCTGCGCGGCCCAACATTTCTGACTGCCGGGCAGAAGATGAGAGTGAAGTGCCAGCACCCGCCGCACCCGTTGAGCTGATTGAAGCCAAGAGAGTGGTAATATTGGCGGAACGCGACATCACGCCCCCCCCGTTAAGGAAACTGGAAAGCTTCTCGCCATGGAGCAGACTGATTCGTTCCGTCGCTTGGTGGATAAGGTTTAAACATATGGTGATGATCATGACCGTATTTCGGCCTAACGGATCGCTGCATGTGGGACCCTTATCGACGGACGACCTAATGAGAGCCGAGAGCAACGTCATGAAATTAGCACAACAGCATTTTCCCCTCGAAACAACGGCGTTAAAAGCGAACGTAGCAAAGAACCCAAAACGGACGGCAATCCGGCGGAGCGCTTTGCGTAAACTGAACCCCATATTGGTCGAAGGGTTGCTACGCGTGGGAGGGATCTTAGAGAATTATTCCTTGGCATTCGACGCTGGATATCCGATCAATCTGCCAGCCGGTAGCCACTTCATCACTTTGCTCATACGCCACCTCCACGCCGAAAACGGGCACTTGGGAACTAACCATCTACTTAACGCCATTTGGGAGAGATTTTGAATAACACGCGGTAGGACCGGATAATCGTTAGGTGTAAGTTCTGTTGCCGTTAAAATGCCGTCACTGGGGAGCAAATGATGAATTAAGGGTTCAAACGGATGGGTGGCCGTTCGAGGAGACAGGAGTGGATTATTTCGTCCCCTGGTGGTGAAGTGCGGGCGATCGGTGGTGAAGCGGTATGGGTAACTGTTTACCTGCATGCAGTCTCGCGCGGTGCATTTAGAGATGGTGCAGAATATGTCTAATGAATCGTTCCTGATGGCGCTTCAAAGGCTGATCAGCAGGCGCGGAGCCCTGAACAACATCTACTCGGACAACGGTTCAAATTTCGTGGGCGCGTCTATGAGCTGCAAAGGTGGCTGTCCCGTGTCGACCATGACGAACTACACAAGCGACTGACCACCCAAAATANCAAAATATCCATTAGCATTTCAACCCGCCGTACGCCAACCATCTGGGAGGGGTTTGGGAACGTATGATAAGGTCAGTGAGATGGATGCTATTGGCGGTGTGCAATCAACAGCCCATTGAAAATGAAACCCTGAGCACAGCCCTAATCGAGGTGGAGCGCATATTGAACAATAGGCATTTGACACCAGTCGCGAGTGCAGCCCCGGATCTCGCACTTACGCCAAACGACTTCATTCTTTTGAGACCGAATCACGGACTGGCAGTACCACAAACACTCACAAAATAATACTTGAGCGAGCCACCTACTTGGCGCGAGCTTTTGGAAGCCGCGTGTCTAAGAGTATTCTACAGGCACGACAGAAATGGATACCCAGAGGAAGAAACTTTCGAATTGGTGACATATTGCTGCTGGCGGATGAACGATTGCGGCGAGGCGGATGGCCCCTGGCGGTCGTCAAGGAATGCCTTCTGGATGAAAACAGGCTCGTACGCACGGTTAAAGTGAAAACGGCAGCCGGCGAAACCCTGCGAGACATTCGCCGAATCTGCTACCTGGAGGGAGGAGAAGCGGAACCGACCGGGAACCCAAGCAGCGGAGTAATCCCCCGGGTTAGCGAAGGAGGCACTGTGAGTCATGGAGAAGGAATTGTGGTTAACCTCCTGAGCTGGCGGAGACGGATAGGGCGACGATAGGCTAGAGAGAATGGCACGACTGTAAGGCTTAGGTAGTTAGAGTGAGAATTGGTGCTCCCTTGAATTTCCCTTCGACCGTGTGACGCAAGTAAGGAGTTTTCCTGTGGAGTATTGATTGATCTGGGAAAATCATTCCTTAAAAGCCCGGCCATTCCACCTTGGTTCCACAGTTCGTAACTTTCACGCTCTATTCACCTAATACCATCCGCCTCAAACAAACATAGACCCTTGACGTTCCACCTCTTTGTATATTCACATATCGATCCTACTATCTGACTTTGTTTGTTTTACTGCTTCAGGTCAGGTCAGGTCAGGTCAGGTTGCACAGGACTGAGTATGGCCGCAGCCAATCGAGCGTCCAGAATTCCTTTGATGGTATGCTCACAACGTGGGCACCCAGCACTGCTGAAATAAGAATGAGAAATAAAATGTCATCTCACCAAGTTGACGAGTGAATTATTACCATATCCTATTTGCTTTAAGCGCAACCTAACCGCTCAAAGTTGACTCGTTCGAGTGCAGCGTGACGGTGAGCGTACTATTCTTATCCAGACTCATTTTCTTTCGTTCAGGTTTGTTGAATTACGCTCACAGTAACACTTAGCTCTTGTTTTCAAGTTGTTTTGAGATCACTTCGAGGTTTGTACATATTTTATTTGCTTAATAGATCGTTTAATAATGCATTACCGTAGAAACTTGCTGGATCGTTAGTTTTATTGACGTTTTTGGATCCGATTTCGGCTACGCGTTCCTCATTGATCTATTCCGGAGGCATAGTACTCCAATTCGTGTAAATTGTAACATGGGAATTTAGCGAGTACGGCAAAGAGTCACAAGTATATGTACTTGTAACTCTTCCGTACTAGTCTTTGCTAGCACGGCGCTAATTGTCATGGTTTATTGAATGTCTACTGTCGAAAGGAAGTTGTTGAGCAATCAGTACCAGCAAAACCTGTAGTAACAATGATTGAACGAAGAAAAACAGCAATCCACGATGACGTTTCTTTTTTATATTTTCTTCACAAGCAAATCTGACTCTAACTGTGATATCTCTGTGTATTACTTTACTGATTGTTTTTTAGTGAGCACGGTTTTCCGCTTAGTTGTATATATAAGACGGGTCCTGTTCAAATTTAGCCAACACGTATGACATGCTTTTGCTTTGCTACTGCACTTACTTGCTTGTATGTTTATTAATAATAATAATAATAGTCGTCACATCGGCACGTATCCGGTACTTCCTAATACCACGATACGCCAAAAAATTCAAAGGTCACCACGAATGCTTTTGTCTACCCAGGGCAAGGAGACACTGCGCTTTATTCGAGATCCGTAAAAAGACTTATCGTCAGGTCTTCAATGTCGATTAGCTTCAGATCTACCAGGAAACATACAGAAAAGCAGTAAGCAATGAAAGAAAACTGCCGTTGCAAACTGTCGGTTGAAGAACCGCTACACATCTTATTCACATGCGAGTGGCCACCGCCGCAACCGTAAGGTGTCCCTTTGCTCTAGGGGTACTTTGACCTGGATATGAGCCGCAACCGCAACTTGCTCTAGACAGAATCGGCAAAGCACTTTAATCCGCGGGGTCATCAGGATTGGGCATTGTAGTAGACAAACGTTTAGGGTAACCTCGTCNCACAACCCTGGTCTTCTGATTTTTCCTAGGTTGCATAACTGGGTGGTGCTGGAGGTATCACAGTGGTTGTCCTTTATCAGCGTTTGACGTAGCCCAAATATAGGTTTCGTTTCATGGCACTACAGTACATGCGATCCCTACAGGAATATGGGAGTCAAATGGCTCAATCCCACTCGTTGGGCGAGCGTGTACAACGGAGAGCGATAAAACTTGTTCATGGCTTGTGCTCCACTCCTAACCCTGCACACCTTCCATCTTTAATCTGTACTCCCCTCCCCCCCCCGAAACTCAGCGCATAAGAAATGATGTCTTCCTACTGAACAATCTCTTCAAATCCGACATGGCCGATGACTTCTTTGTACGCACTAGTATGGACAATGTTAGTCGACATAGCATGAAACTCGTCAAACCGCGTGCCCGTAAACTAGTTCGTCAGAGCTATTTCACCCACAGGGTCATTCCTCTTTGGAATAGCCTTCCCCCAAAAGTAGTTAATGCCCCCAAAAGATCCGCTTTCAGAAGGAATCTGGACCTGTATCTTGGTCTAATGCCTGAACGGTAAAATCTCCTAGTTTCATGGTGCTATTCATGTTCCGTATTTTCCTGAAATTTATCAATTGTCGCAATCCATGAAGATACTGCACCCCTCTCCTGCTCTTACCTCATTTCAGGTAACCTTCTTGTACAGACGGAACACGGACTCAATCCAACATCCACCGCAGTGAAGCCTTGTCCGTACCCGGTTAACCGAGAGGCGGGACCAGAAGAAACCTTGGAAACCACTAAGATCAGGGATCACTGGGCCTAGGTTCGCACCCGTGTAATATTTCAAGACTTCAAGACTTCCTCGTAGATACGAAAGCCAAAGTATCAATCTTTCCTATCGATAGCAGCAAGCCAGGAGCAACGATGTTTTGACTATACACTGCGAATGGCACTCCCATTATTACCTTTGGACCAAGACAGCTAACGGTCAATCTAGGAGGGCAACGACAGTTTATATAGACTTTCATTCTTGCAAATGTTCCCACTGGAATATTGAGTATCGATTTCTCGCATTACTGCGAATTGTTTTCCGATTCACGTAGACTGCAGTTGACCAACCCAAAATTGAATACCAAATTCACGTGTTTCAAAGGCCGCATGGATGTTTAACAAATCACGGATTTAATGCCTGATATACCTGTGGATTTCCAGACATTGATCGCCTTAATGTAAAGTTCTACTAAACCCATCGACGACTTAGCACTAATGACTGATCGTGTTCCAAACTACATAGTCACCAAGGGTCCATCAGTCACGGCACGACCCCGCCGACTGGCGCCGGACAAATTAGCTTTTGTTAGGCGTGAGTTCAACACTTTACTTTCAAAGGGTATCTTATATCCTTCTCATAGTCCATGGGCCTCTCCTCTACACATGGTTCTTAAAAGAGATAAAAGTGGCTAGAGACCATGCGGTAACTTTCGGTCACTTAACGGAGTGACTTGTTATCCGATCCCACGTATACCCGACATTACGGTATTACTTCACTTTTTTTCTAAAATCTATCTGGTATGAGGTTATTATCAGATCTCAGTCGCCAGTGATGTCAAAAAGAGTACTGTCATAACTCCTTTCGGCCTGCCTGAGTTTCTTTTTACGCCTTTTGGTTTGCGAAGCGCTGCTCAGACTTTCCAAAGGTTTATCGACAGTATAGCTCGAGATTTAGATTTTGTTCACGCTTACATTGATTTACTCATAGCCTCTCCCAATGTAGATGAACACAATAATAATAATAAAGGTATATTGCATAAAGCCCCGTGAAGCATGCATAAGCATGGTCATATATACAACACAATGATAAGTACAAGAAGAGCGCGAAACTTTGAAGAGCTTAATGCACTGGGTGGAAAGAGTAGTTAATGGATCGAAAGCTGTAATGCAATGGACAGCGGACAAGTTCATAGAAAGACATAATGAGGATGGCGGTATGCGTCATGTGAGAATGACTGCGGAGAAAGAACAGAACAGGAATCAATGTAAATATGAAATGCGAGATATTTGGACCTGTGAAATTCAAAGAATAAAATGGGGAGAGACCGTCGGTGGTTCCATGGATGGGAAGATGAAAACAGGCACAAGAATGGATTTGGAGGAACAAGTCTGCGCATTCGAGCATTTGTCGATGTACATGTATTTCACTATATTTTTTGGCACAGTTAAATTCTCATTCGATGTCTTCAGGGGCTTTGATTATCATTAAACTGATTTGGGTTATATAAGCGTTGGTCGCTTTGGTGTGAGACTGACTAAACGCTAGACACCTTACCTTTACACACCTTTCAGTTGAGGCAGGGAGTGTGTTCCTCAACCTGGTCTAGAATGCGGACGCCTTCAGTCAAAGCGGTGGATACAGCCGTACCCAACAGCCATTACAGAGTGTGCTTAAATTCAGTCACGCTTCCTTAATCTACTAATTCAACTGGTTTCGGCTGTTCACTACTCTGTTGCTGAAGAAGCTGGATCTAACAACCGGGTTGCACCGCAGCTTATGTAGTTTGTACCCATTCCCTCTAGTTCCTTGGTGGATATCTTCCTGGAACATACTCTCTTTCCTTACCAAGAGAGCTCCTTCACAATCTTAAAGGCCTTTAGTAAGTCCCTCCTTAGTTTTTCCCTTTTTTGCGAGAAGAATCCCAAGTATTTTAGCCTGTCTTGGTATGACTCACGCTTATGACCTTCAGTCATTCGGATGACTAGTCTTTGGACATTCTCTAAACAGGCTGCATCCTTTTTGAAGAAGGGTGCCCAAACCAGCACGCAGTATTCTAAGTACGGCTTAACTATGGCTTTGTACAGGGGTAGGAATACGTCGGGTTTCCTACACGATAGTTGTAACTTGAGCCTGATCAGCTCTCTCCTCGCCCTTGCCGCAGCCAGTACACACTGATTCCCCCAGCGGAAATCTACCACCACCGATATTCCTAAGTTTCTGCTAGTTCTTACAACCCCTGCGGTGAAATCCCCTCCACCAAGTTGGATTGAAAATTGTTCATCAGCAAGGGAAAGTAAGTTATTTTTCTCTGCATTCAGTAGGAGGTCATATACTGTTGCCTATTCCGTTGTTCTACGCGGGTCATCCTGCAGTGCAGTTCAGTGCAGTTCCGTGCACTGCTGCTGTTTTTCAGATGGTTAGGCGTATTAAATACGTGCAGACTTCTAGAAGAAAATTATAGTCCATTTTACCTGCCGGATAAACTGCTTTGTGTCAGGTAGAATTAACATTCAATCAAATCCAATTTAATTCAATCCAATTCAATCCAATTTTTTTCAGGATATTGAGGCCTCGGCCTTATGGTTGTCTTGATTCTGGCTCAACCTCGTCGGTAGAAGGATTGAGCTGTACGTTTGTCTGGCTTACTGCATGGTTGATAATTCTGGGACACTCAGAGTATGCTAGATTCGGATTTAGTAGGCCAGGTCAGGTTTGGTAGGATTGCACAGGACTGAATATGGCCACGGTCAATCAAGCGTCCGGAATTCCTTCAGTGGTATGCTCACTTCGTGAGCACCCAGCTCGCTGAAATGTGAATGATTAATAGTATCTCATCTCAAAAAGTTGCCGAGTACTTCATTTAAGTTCTCATAGGAGGATTTGTGGGCTTGCCAATCGAGCGTCTAGGTTCGTACGTTGGCTTTCAATACTTTGATGTGCAATTTTTCTGAAAGGCAGAATATTGCAGTATCATATCCTTTACGATTAGGTTATAGATGGTACTAAACGCTTACCTGGCGAAAATCGCTATCCAACACTCATCAAGGGCTCTCTATAGCATCTACTATACTACAGCCTACCACTGTCAGCAGCGACCGGTTCTATGAGGGAATGACCTTGTTAGTGCAAAAGGTTTCTCTCAATTGTAAACTTAGCTTACGTTCAAGCGTGCTTCTATGCAGGTCGTCAAACCTAAGGCCTCATGTACCCTTGACGCTGTTAAATGTCTTGAGTAGGTCTCCTATCATCCAACTCCGTTTGACGGAGAACAGATTTGAATCCCTTGGCGCTGTTCATATCCTTTCTCTCATTACCCAACTGTCATCCTCGTATCTAGACGTGGAGCCCCCTTCAGTGTATCGATGTCCTATCTAAAAAACGGAGCCCAAGCGTTCACACACTATTCCGAATGCGGGCAAACGATGCATTTGTATAGTAGGACAAACACCCCGGGTTTTCTGCACGTCATGGTTGCACATAGACGAACAATTGTCCCCTGGATTTGTTTGAGGCCTAAGGATGTTGCATGGTTGGTTTGAAGTCCTGTGTTGCCACTATGCCTAAATCTTTTGCTTCGTGCACCCTTTGTATCGACAGGCCCCCTTCTGTATCTTGGTCAGTTCTGGTCGTCAGTATCTAATATTTGGAGACTTTTAGTAGTAGGTACCACTGATTGACCCATCCTTTTACTACCACTATATCCCATCCATCTATCGTGACGTAATTTGTAAACAGAAAACTGGAATTTCGGAGATCCCGTGAAAGGCCGCTAATGTAGAGGAGGAACAATAGTGGTTGAAGTACGGATTCTTGGGGTACACCACTTGTGATCGCCTCCTCCTTGGATGTGTGAGCTCCTACCTTGAACCTGAATGTCCGTGAAACAAGAAAGCCCATTATTAAGCTCCTGACTTGTCCAACTATTCCAAATATTTGCATCTTCTGATCTAACAGATGGTGGTTGACCGAGTCGAATGGTTTCTGGAAGTCCAGATAGCATGCTGTTTTCCGGGATTCAGACTTGTTCATTGACACTACTGTGGCTTTGCGCAGGTCGTTTGAGACAGTGCCTAATCTTAGCGAATCTTTGAATAACTCCAAGATTGGACCCACTGTGACGTCATACAGCGATTGTAGAATCATTGGGTTAGTTCCGCTGCCTTGAATCTATTGAGTCCTGTCAATTCCCACTGCACATCCTGTAATTCCATAGTGCTTGGTGTCATGGTGCAGTTACCTTCGATTGATGGAAGGGTGTGTCACCCT